TCCGTAAGTTCTTCATTTATATTCTTTAATGAGGTTGAAAAAAAAGTTATTTTAAAAAAATTTATTAAAGTACTTCAAATATATAAAAAAATGTAAAATACCTTTGCAGCCTCAAGTTGTCCTTGGTTTCTTTTAGCCTGATCTCTCCAATCTTTTTGAGCTACAGTAGCTTTCTGGATCATGCCTTCAAATTTATTTAGCAAACGTAATTTTATATCCATCTGGTTCTTGAGAGACCTAAAATAAAATAAATTATTTTTTACAAAACTTCAAAATGTTATTAATCATTTAAGAAATGATCGATTTAATTATTACTAACTCATATTGTTCTTGCCAACGATTATCAATTTCTTTTGTACGTAGATCAAAAGTGTTATATACATGACTGAGAGTCTTGAGCTTGGATAAAAGGTGCTCGTGGAAAAGAGCGAAGTTGGCCGAAGGTTTTGGATAATTTGACTGAAAATCCAAGATATGAAATTAGCAAAAAAAAATTTTTTTTCGCGAAGGTATTAGAAATATTTATTACGAACTTGTTTATTTGTGCCATCTGACATTATATTATCCAAATATTGGTAAGTAGTCATTAAAAGCGTGTTACGCTCAATAATTTGTTCACGATATTGAGTTTCATTCGAATACGTGGCCTAAAAAAAATAAATTCTAATAAACTCCATTTAAATCCATGTAATACATTAACGAGTTATCTTCCTTTACCTTCTTTTCTTGGGTAAGATTATTTTCCAAGTGGGCTACTTGAGCTTTTAACTCTTCAATTGTGGAATTTTGATCTCGAACGTCCTATGATAAAACATTTGATTAATCTTGCTCATAAGAATTATAAATTTTGACAAAAAAGACTGGAATTTTAATTTCAATTCGTATTTACCATTTGTAGATTTCTGAAAACTTCTTCAGCTTTAGCGCGTGCACTTTCACTAGATGATAACTTTTCGTTCAACTTTGTTCGTTGATTATTCTAATGCCAAACCAATCAATAAATTCGCTTTGGTTAATTAAAAAAGTTTACTATAAACCATTATACTAAACTTACGTACCAAATGTTTCATCTCATTTTCATATTCAATGATTTGGTTCTTCTGATTCTCTAGTTTATCACCAAGGTTTTCAAGAAGAGTGCGCAAACGTTCGGATTCATGTCGACTTGTATCCAATTCCTAAGAAAGAATATATAATAAAGATCACACGTGAGTTTACATAATGTAATATATGAGTAATTAATTTGGTAAATACGGTACCACTCTCAATCTTTCTTGTTCTCTCGCATAACGTTCTGCTGTCTCCTTTGTTCTACTTGTCTGATTACTTAATTGTTGATTAGCATATTGGAGGTCGGCATCGCGCTCTTGAATTGTCATATTTAAATCCGACATTTGTTGTTCTGCAGCTGACAATTTCTATGAGATTAAAATTATCATTTTGTTAAAAACGATAATAAAAAGTTTGAATATAATTTACGAGAAAAATCAATTACCTCAATTAGCTCATTTAATCTTTGATCATTTTGTTTCTCATTGTCCTTTTTATCTTTGCGTGCTTTATCTACCTCTTTTTCATACAATTCTCTCTCACTGTTTCTTTCAGCCATTAATTCTTTCTCACGCGACTCGGCCGCATTACGCTGTTCAACCTCATAATCCAGGTCTTTCTTCATTTCGTCAATCTGTGTAGAATAATTTTCTACCTCTTGGCGAAGAAGGTCTAGTTGCTTATCTGTCGAATCTTTTACGGCTAACAATTCCGTTACTTTAACTTCATTCATGCTGAGTTTCTAATCAACATTAAAAAAGATATTAATTATCAAAAATAATATATAAAATTACAATGATCATATTTCATACCTCTTTCAGATCTGAAATTAATTCTGCATGTACTTTCTCATCATGTTCAATGTTCTTGGTCTTAAGTTCCAACTCCATTCGTGTCTAAATAAAAAAAAAATGGTAAGTTATAAAATTACTTATAAATATCCAAAATAATAAAAGTTTACCTTGTCAAGGGATTGCGTTAATTCTTCTATCTCACGTTTATGATTGTCCAACTGAAGTTTTAAATCAGATATTGTCTCTTGAGTGTGAGACAAATCCTCCTTGCGATCATGATCCACAGCATTAAGATCTGCTACTAATTGCTCATTATCTTGATGACATATATCTAATTCCTTTAATCAATAAGTAAAGATTATTTACAATAAACATTAAGACAATGCATCATAAAATGAAATGTGGTTACTAGAAATATGACATACTTCTAAGAGTCTGTCTATATATTCTTTCAATTCAGATTCCATTCGGTCCATATCCTCCTCAAGGTCTTGGTTTGCTACATTAGAAGTTTCTAATTCTACTATAAGGTGATCAACTTCCGTGGACTTGTTACGAAGCTGAAGTGTTAATTCGGCAACTTTATCTCGTAATAGACCAAGGCTCTTATTTTTTTTTTATAAAAAAAAAATAATAATAATAATAATAATTCTAGTCTCATACTATCAAAAAAAAAAAAAAAAGGAAAAAAAGAAAACGAAAAAGAAAACCTAATCACCTCTTCATATTGGTCGCTAAACTCTCCATTCATAATACGTGAAGAAATATCTCCACGCGAAGATGCTGAGCTCATAGGACGACTTCTAATTAATTCCAACTCGGCCTCGTTCTCATGTTTAAGTGCTTTAAGATTGGAGATTTGCTATAAAAGTTTTAATAAAAACGTTAGACATCTTCAAAAAAAAAAAAAAAAAAAATAGAACCCATCATAAGCTCAGCCAAAAAAATTATTCACGTACCCCTTTCAACTGCTGTATTAATACACTATGTTTTTCTGCTTCTTCTTGTCTCGCTTTATCTGCAGCACCTTTAATCCTTTTCATCATTTCACGATTATCAACAATTTCCTCATCGCCATTCTGTAATCCCTCAAAATTTTTAATAGTGTCTTCCTGCAATCTCCTCAATTCTGTTAATTCGGCATTCGTTCCTTGCATTTGATTTTTAACATCAAGCAATTGGCGTCTAAGTCCATTTGCTTCATTTGAAATGTTTTGTTTTTCCTCCCTTTCTTTTTGTAATAATTCTTTGTAATGCTGTAGCTCTGGATTTTGCGTTGACTGCCTTGAATCGAATGAATCCATAGAATCAAAATCAAAACTACCATCAGGTTTTATTCTCTTTACAGTTTCGCGAAGCCGTTTATTTGCTTCCTTTTGTTCAACAAATTTACGTTGAGCCTCGTCCCTTTCCTTACGTAATTCATCAATAGTATCACGAGCTCTATGTAATTCCAGTTCGGTTTCTTCTGATGGTGACGTTCCATTTTGTAATGTAGTACCGGATTGATGAAGCATTTGTATCGCTTTCTCAGCATCCAATAGCAATTTATTCCTTTCTTTCAAAGTAACAGTCAATTCATGATTTTGCATTTTAATTTCCACATTCTGATACAAACATTAAAAGGTAAAATAAAAATGAATATATATCATTTTTGGGGGTAAAGTTATCCGAATCAATTCCCACCTCTTTTAAAGCTCTTTCCATCTCATCGGGACCCATCTTACTAACACGTTCTTCCAAAAAATAAACTTTCATTTTTAAACTAAAGTTTTCCTTTTTGATTTCGTCAATCACCTAACCACAATTTCCAATTAAAAGGGGGAAAAGAAAGGATTTTTTTAGAATAAATGAAAATCATAAAAATTATTATTTTAGAGAGGTAAATACCCTTTCTTGCTCTTTTAATGTCATTTGAGTGTTTCTTGATGGTGCATTAGGGGGCCAACGTGGATTATTACGCCTGTTCCTAGCGGATTTCGCATCACCAGCATCAGACATTTTCCTTCCATTTGTTGTTTCCTCATTGTTCAACAATCGGGATACATTAAAAGTGAATTTATTCTCGTCCACCGGATTCAATTCTCTCGTACTATTTCCATTGTCTTGGGTAGAATTTTGAAATGAAGAGGTAGGCTGTTTGGACTTATCCTGAAAAAATGACGAAACATTCTTTTCCAAGGTGTCCAAGCCTTTCGCGAAATTGGCATCGATAGAGCCGAAGCTCAATTCGGCATCATCGAAATCGAAACTCCCGTCAACTACTGGAGACAAAGAATCTGTCATGCAAACTTATTTTCTGACGTTAAAAAAAAAAAAAAATTAAAAAAAAAATATATATATATTTATAAATAAATAGTTTTTTTCGAATTGTTTATTTAATTACGATCGTTAAGGTTTTTTTTTTTTCTGTTTTTTGTAGATTGGGTCTATTAGTAATGATAATGTAACTAATAAAGTGGTGATTATGTTTACATGTTTGATCACGGGACCACCTTTTTGTGGTATAAAATGACACCGTAAAAGTCCAAAAGCACGTGTTTCAATGCCCAAATACCGATACAGATTATTTTTCCAAGATACTAAATGGATAATCCGCATTTTAATTTGATTGGTAATTGAAATTTTTTCGACCGCATTTAGTGAAACCAAACATGGAAAAATTCCCTAGCGAAATTTCTTTTTGCGTGGTTTCGTTATTCCTTTTGAATGGACCAGCCCTGTATGATCTAAACGCATAAAGCGAGGACAAATGACATGCAGATTCATAAGGATTCTTTGTAAAAACTATCAATGGTTCTCCCATTTCATTTTTTTTTCTCTAGAATTTTTTTTTATACACCGTGAACCTCATTATGATAAAGGTATTTTTTTTTTAGTAACTGTAAGTTTTCAGAAAAAGGAACTTTTATTATAACAAAATGAGGTTCCCTATATATTTATGGGGACTGGTAAGTATTTAAGGAGGGTAAAGCTAAATTGAAAGAATGCTATTCATGAAAGAATATGAAATCCAAAAAAAAACTAAAGAAAATAAAGAAAGAAAGATAATATATACAAAGCGAAAAATATATGTATAATATATATATTTATATAAAAAGCCATTATATGAACGAACTAACTGCAACTATAATTAAAAACTTGTTCAATCGATTTTTATTCTTCTTTATCTCCTCTAGCAGCAACGGGAGTATTCCAATCTTTGGATAAGAATTCGTCAGTAATTTCTTTTCCGCTAGTTTCATGCCCATTATCATTGTAAACAACTCCACCGATAGGAGAAAGTTGGCTAGAAAATCCGACAGTATTATCTAAAGTGATAATAGTAGTAGCGGTAGAGGTGTCGATGGCGGTGGTAGTGTCGTTATTGTCCGGCTTAATGGAAGATTCTGAATGACGATAAGTTTTATGATACATTTCTCTTTTATAATCATTCCTATCATATGATGATAGTCTTCTTTTATGCAGCTTTGGTCGTTCCGTTTTCGTATGTTCTTCATTTGAAAATGCCCTATAATGATGCGGTGGAAGTGTTGTTTCATCTGATAAGGGTTCCATTGTATTTTTTATTTTTTAAAAAAATTTTTTTTTTTTTTTTTGAGAAGTTTTTGTATGTACTTGTAAAAGAAAAGAATTATTTTATGGTCAGTTTATATATAAATAAATTTTTTAATTTAAGTAAAAATATTCTAATACAAAAACAGAATCACACTATTCCAAAAAAGAAACTAAAAAAAAAAAAATCATTTAAAATTGAGCAGAAAAATGAAGAAAAGATTTTTTTGTTATCTTGCTTTTCACATGTAATTCACTAAAAGTGAGTACAAAGCTGAAATTCCAATGAAGATTTACCTAAATCCAAATAATGATTTATCATTTTAGAAATATCAATGCTTGCATTGAATTTAATTAATTTAAAAACCTGTTTAAATACTCGTTTTGATCTGAATTGATTGAAACGCGTAATTTACGCGACAAAAAAATTTCTTCGGAAGTTCGTTCGTTTCATTAATTATTTGGAAGTGATTGTAAACTTTTCCATATCTGACAACTGAAAATAAGCCACATCATTGTGGTTCTAAAAAAACTTTTAATTAATTCTTTTTAAGGAAAAACTAGTGTGGCGTTAAAGCGCGGCGTTCGTTAGTGTGTTGAGATATTTTTGTTGTCCATAAAAGCTTGAATTTTATCGAGTTTTTTAAGGGATTTGAGATGTTTCCCAGTTGGGGGACGTATGCCTTGATTCGGTGGAAATTATTCAAAGACGATATTTTTTTTCTAATTCAAGTGGTGTGAATTCTCCTGTAAATTTTAACGTTTCTTTCTTCTTCAGGAATGAAATAATGGAACCCATTTGGATGCTAGGGTCTCTTCCCTTCTTTATGATTCCTCAATTGTCATAAACATAATGGCCTTTTTTGGAAAAGAAATTTCATAATTCTTTCTAACGCGTGATTTTGTAATAGATATTTTTTTTGTAAAAATGATCTTTTTTAACGTCTTGATAGCTACTTCAATATTAAAATGCATGAGTCATAAAGAGTTAACAAAAAAATGAAAAATGCCGGAAACCCTAAAATAAAAGAATTATACGCAATAAGTGTAACTAGGAACGGAAATCGGTGTAAAGCCCGGACATCTTGTATTTTGTTTTATTTAATTATCTATTATTTTTCCGAAACTATTTACAATATGTATTTAAATAAATTTACATCATATCCATTCCAGTTATACATTGAATTCATTATTTCCCACCCCTAATATTCAGCAGGTTGTATTCATAAAAGATAATTCAAAAAACTTGTATTATTACAATAAAGGAAAATTTACATATTATACGGATAGAAGTTATATCAATTGCTTAATTCCCATGATATTTCTTCCATTTTAATGCTGATGCAATTTGTATTTTTTAACACAATTAATTTACACATTTTTTTTAAAAAAACTCTTTTAAAACAATATTAAATCTATACTTTAAAAACATTTAATTATGACAGGTTAAAAGTATTCAAAAGAATTTTTTAAAGCATTCATATTTTGCTAAAATCTTATGTGCAAAAAAAGTTTATTTGTATATGTGATGCAGTAATTAAATTTTCAAGAAATTAGGATAAAGATAATATTAATCATCATGTTACAAGTAAAAAATGTAAACAAGTTAGAGATTAAAAAACAATATATGATTACTTTAATATTAATAAAAATTATGATGATGATGATTCTAGTGAAGAGTGAAAAGATTGGAATAATGAAGTTAAAAACATGATAAATAATCATAATATTATTGGTGTTGATAAACATGATAAAGATAAAAACTTAATTTTAATATTGATATTGATATTAATAACAATATTATTTTAAATTCAAATAAAAAAACTTTCATTTAGCTAGAATTTTAATATATATTGATCATACTCTTACAAATTTTGATAGTTCTTATTATGTAGAAATAATTGCAAAGAAAATAAATTTAAAAAGGATTTTTTAGAAAATAACTTTATTTAAAAGAAAAGGAAAACACAATTATTATAATATATGTCATATAAAATAAAAAAATTATAAGATAAAGAAAATACTTTAAATTTTAATTTTTTTTAATAAAAATTAACTTCTATTTTAATGTTTTTTTAGTAATTATAATAATAAAATATAACTTTCATTTTATGTAGAATACTTTTATTGTAAAAATAAGAAAAGAATCATCAAATATATTTACAAAATCAACTTTTTTTGTATTTATATTATTATATAAATTTTCTGGTATTATATACTAGCATATCTTAAAATAACAACTTAATTAAATTTAGATAAAATTTCTCAATATTTATTTTTTATAAAATAGTAAAAGGTTCAAATAATAATAAATTATTTAAAAATATAAATAATTTTATAATGATATTGAAGTAAATCAAAAAAATAAAATTGTCAATAATATTATAAAAAATGAAGATTATAAATATTTATTAAATCAGTTAGTATAAAATTTAACAGTTAGTAAAAACTAAACTTAAAGTGACAAAAAATTCTTATTTTTTGCTTAATAAATTAATAAATGAAAATTTTTTTTGTATACTTTAAAAAAAAGTCAAAAACTAAAAATCTATTAATAATAAAACAAAAAAGTAAATTTTATTTACATATTATTATTATTATATTTATTTAATTTTAATTTATTAATAAATTAATAATTAATCTATTTGTTTAATTTAATAAGAACATATCACTCTTTTTATAAATGATATTAAAAAGTTTATTTTTTATTTAAATTATTCAAGTTTCTAGTATTTTAAAATTGATTTCTATAGAATAATCCTTTTGGATTCCTTTAGATATAATTGTTATTTATGCATAATAGATTTTACAAAATAAATAGCAATCTTCTTTAATAGATTTATCTAATGTAAAAATAAATTAATAAATATATAATGCTTTTTGATTTTTTTTTAAATTCAATATTACCATTTTGATTTTTGATTTTATTTAATAGATCACAAATTTTTAATAAAAAAGGATAAAGTAAGAATTTTATACAATAAGAACATTTACTACTTGAATAATTAAAATTTACTATAATTTTATTTTTAAAAAATTATTAATAAGCAATAACAAAATAAAAAAAAAATGAATCTGAAAAAAATGATGTAATAGATGTATTCAAACTATTTTCTTTTTCTAGTTAATTTTAAAAATTATAGTAGCATTTTTTTATAATTATTATTTACTATAAAATAATTAAAAAAAAATTAAATTAAAAATTAAAAAAAAAATATTTAATTAAATTTTAAAAATAGTTTTCTTTTTCTTTTTCCTTAACATTTATCTTCTTGTAATATATTTTGTTAATATAATATTAATACAGATCTTTTAGAAGGTTTAATAGCTTCAATTTGATTTTTAATTCTTTTTTTTAAAACAGTTATTATTAGAATATTTATAAAGAAATATATTAAAAAATTGAATCAAGAAAGTAAAAATACATATGATTTTAATGGGCTATTTTAAAATATTAAGAGTAAATTTTAATTTTCTTTTAAATTTATAGAATCTTTCTACATATTAACTTATATCTTATTTTAGTCTGAATATATAGCTCAAGAGGACTAATTATAATTAACAAAGTACTTTCAAAACTTTTTTTATTAAATAATTTATTAACATATAATTTAGTTTCTCTAAAAAATTCAGTAGATTTTTAGCAGAAAGTTTTGATTTCTGAGACTATATCATGTTTAATTTCTCAGAATAAGAGTAATATATCATTTAAGAATACTAGAAAAATTATAATATAAAGTGTCTAATTTTGATGTATATATACATAAAGAGTAGTTATTTTTATAAATAAAAAATTTTTTGCTCAATTAAGTAAATATACATTTATTATTTGAAGTTTAAATTTTATTATAAATGTTTTTCTTAATGTGTAAAGCTACCATATATTAAAAAAAATTATAAATGTTTCATTTACTTCTTTTAAAAAAAATTTGTTTGATTAAGTTAAAGTCACATTTATTATTTAAAGTTTAAAATTAAACTCTATTATTTAAAATTACAGTACCTAATGGACTTAAACTATTGATTGTGAAATAAAATTTTGAACTAAACAAATTAATCAAATTCAAAGAGATAAAGTTTAAGAATCTATATCCCTAAAGTATAGAATAATAAGCTATATCTGAAATATAAGCACTTTGTATAAATTTTGATATTTTTTATTATCTATTAACTTAAAATATTTAAAATATAAAACATATATAATATTTTAATTATTAATCTAAAATAAAATATAAGATATATATGACAAACAATATCTTAATATTCATCTACTCAATAATTAAGTTGATATTGATTGGCTTTATAATTGCATAAAATCCTAGATAAAGTAAATACAGTCAACTCTTTCTACAACGAATTTTGATATAACGAATTTTACAATACAACGGATTTTCATTGTCGAACAGATTTTTAAATATAAAAAAACCCTTACTATACCGAATTTAGTAATTAAAAATTCGTACTACGTTTAACGAATTA